AATGTGGAGGAGAGGGTGGGGGAGGGGTCAGGGTGGAGGGGGGGCCGATAGATCATCTGTTGTTCAGGTTAAGGCGAAACGGCACCACGACACCCTTACAAACTGACAGCTGCCTGGATGAACCGCCTCTGAAAGACGTACGGATTACATTGTGTCCGTTTGCGTAAACTGCAATGATCTCGACACTTGAAATGCGGCAGGTCTGACGGAAATGTCATGACAACCAAATAAACCGACATCTCCAGTCACAACTTTTCGCTTTTAGAGCTCATCGTATGCAGAAGCGGCGTCCATTCGATTTCAAGTGGTGTATTGGATAATAAGCGTCTGAAAGTGTTTTAGAAAGACTTGCGATGTACAAAACATCTTATTTCCTTCTCACATATAAAAGAGCATCCGAAATGATTGTGCCATTATTGAAAGAGGCTGTCATGAGACTAACGTACGTGGTAAAGTGTCATTAAAGGAGACTCAATCATAAAAGTGCTGGATGAGACCATTTATACACACAAAACACATCAACATTTAGAGGGATCTGGGATTTACTTCAGGTTAGGAGTCGAAAAATTTGGTTGATGCTGATGTGGATGGCTAGATAGAAGGCTGGCCATTATAATACATATACATATGTCATAAAAAAAAGATGAATATTCTCACACTACTTACTTTAATGTTGTGGTCAGGAGTTTGCCAAAGCACTTCAAATCTGCTGAACTTTGTACATTTAAACAGTGTTTTATGAAAGTAAGATAAGTTAGTTAGAGGTTAGTGATCTGTAAGATATTAGTGCATTTGCATTCTCCTTGTTTACCTCAACTGCACAAAGAAAATTACAGTAAAATTTATGAAATTCACAAAAAAAAAAAAAAAAAAGAATTTTAAAACTGATAATGTGCACTATATTTAAAAAATTTTGAACGTAAATTTAAAAAATGAGGCATGGCAGAATGAACACTTCTTTAAATTGGCAATTGGACATTTATCAACCAAGAGATAATCTTAAAATAAAATATTAGATGATTTATCAGCCTCTCTATAAAATTCTTTTTTTTTAAAACGATGCAAAGATGCAATGCTTATGTTCAGCCAAATTCATATATATCAACCAGTACGATCACCTCAAAATCAACCAAATATCAACTAATTTATTGAAATATCACAACTAAAAATTCTAGAAAAATTCTAAAATGTATTTGAAAACAGATAACATCCCCTATCCATTGACAAAGCTGCATTTAAATTTAAAAACTGACATATGGTGGGAAAAATTATTCTGTTTAGCTAAATTTTAGCATTGAATTTCATTTATCGGCCATTGCGATCATCTTAAGATGACTAAATATTGCATATATATCGGTCTACCACTGCACAAGGTACATCTTAGTTCACAAGGACACCTTCATAAAAGAAAACACATCTGCATCCTGTGTACTACATGTAAATGAACACGAGCATCACGGCGTGAATCTCTCTCTCACACTCTTATACACGCACCTCTAGAGCAGATGTCATTGATTAAAGCTGATGGGCAGGACCATTAGCACTTTGATATTATATATTTGTCAGCGGTGACACAACTGAACGCACGCTTGCAGAATGATCATATTTAAAACGGTTCCGGTGAATACTTAGCAGAAAGATTAGACCGGGCCTCATCGAGACAGACTCTTTTACTTGCGGACACATGCGTTCATTCATTTGCGCTCCTTCACTCCCTCACTCTTTCTTTTTCTCATCCTCACCCCCACCCACCATCTCCTCAATCCCACACACCCCCCAGAGTTCCTAATGGTCTTTAGATCAGGGGGAAGTGTATGAATTACAGACTACAGAAAAAGACAGGGCTCAGCTAGACCACCATGAATGAAAAATGACTCCTTTGTTCCCTCGCATCAATTGCATGCCTAATGAAATCAAAATCAGATTGCATAATCAAGTGTACGTCTTCCACTCGGCGGAGGCCCACTGCGAATCGTAACCTTTTCCCTCTCGAGTGAAAATTAACACAATTTTCTTCTAATACGGCGCAGAGTTGAAAAGAGAAACTGGAAAAGAGGCCGTGTCAAAGCGGGACCCAAGCGTTACGGCGTAAATTTGTGCTAAACCGAAGGTCAAATGGCGTATCTGAAAAATAACACCAATAAAAAGCCATCTCAGAACTGTTAATGTTGTATCAAATATGTAAAAACACAAGATAAACAGTTTCTGTATATATATATTCCTATAAAAATTGTTCAAAAGGTCAAAACTGGTTATAAAAATGGCTTGAACCCATTTTCCTCATGTAATGTGACGTATTTCCAAGCAAAACAAAATAGAAAACACACTCAAATTTATATGTCAGGAATTGACTGATCGTGAAAAGTGGACAGTGTTAATCTGACTGACAACATAAAAGTAATATTAAAACTTACATTTGCAATCAAATGCTTAGGTGAAACTGAACTAAGCTATGTATTAGTGAGAATGTGTGACTGCATTGTGAATAGTTACTGTAACAACATACTAAGTGTAATTCAATGCCTAAACATGCTCTTAAATTCAAAATTAATAATAGCCTCTAAAGCAGAATTCATAACACATTTTATGTTGATAAATCTTTCATGTTTGACATTTTTCAAAATGTTAGATTTTTTTTTAGTTTGCCAGATATTTCCATTTTTCACATTTTTGTTATTAACTAAAATTGTATTTTCATCAACTAAATTTTACATCATTTTGGAGTAAAATGGATAAAATGACTGAAATATTGACATCAAAGGGGAAAAATATGTAAAAATTAACATCGAAAGTGTGATTGGTGACAGTGGAAAATTAAAGTAATTTTTGAGGCCAAGTAATTATTAGTAATTAATCATTAGGTAATATTCATTATTAAACAATTATTATTATTTGAAGTAATTATTAGATTTATATATACAGTAGAAAGATTATGAAGACAATTATTTGGAATACTGTTCAATCATTCACAATGAAACCAGAAATATGTATTTGAGAGAGAAAAAAAAAATCTAATATTTAAAATATAAAATTTCATTTTCATGTTGGTTTTCTGTGATACATTACATCCATGTGTGCAACTAGGCTTTTAACCTCAATACAAATGTAACCAGTCTTAACTAATGTTCTTATTCGTGTGTATCTGCTGCCTGAGGCCATGTTTGAGCTCTTTACCCAGAAATCTCTATTTTCTGTAGCTTGAATAAAACAGGTCCAGATGTTGCGACTATTTCAGGTCCAAATGCCCCAAAATTCTCCTCCTTTCAACCTTATGTTCACCCTCTCCTCTGCAGTAGACTGAAGGTTAATTAGTTGCCAACCTGTAAGCATTATCAACTTTTGTGGTTCTCTGAGCAACCCGATTCATGCGGCCCAGCAACACTGACAAATGCTCCTTATGTCTCTGTGACTAATAAACCCTCTTCCCTATCCAACACAAGACTGGACACGTGCCAGAAAACTGCAATTCCCAGAAGCCCTCGCTGACCTGTCTTTAATGGTGCAAAAGCAATTAGCTCAAGCTAAGTGATGCTGAGGTCCTGGCCGGTTATGTTTCCACAGCGGTCGTGCCAGCTTGCAGAGCCCCTGGAGAAAGTTGCTCCTGTTTTTTATTAATTAGACTTGATCTCAGCTCCCTAAATCCAATTATACCTTCCCAAACTCCCTCACATATGAAAACAGAGTAAATCTGGTTCTTGCAGGGCAAAAATAAAGCATATTCAGCCAAAAATGAAAATCAGCACTATACAAACAACCTAACATACGTTTTCTGAGTGGATATCAATGACAGGTTGGTCAAATAGTTCCTGATTTAAATATACATTTACCCAAAATTAACTTTTTGACGAGGAATCGATTTAACATGGATTTGAAATTTTAGTTTAAATCTAAACAACCTGATTTGTGGGTTGTTAATTAATTAATTAATTTAGTCATTTAGCAGACGCTTTTATCCAAAGCGACTTACAAATGAGGACAACAGAAGCAATCAGTTGTAGTATTAAAACAACTAAAAACAGATCCAAAACTAAAAGCTAAAACTTTATCAAGTTTGTTAAGTTTGTTAAGTAAATAATTATAATTATAAACAATTATAATGTTAGTTTGTGGCCTAAAAATACTGTAACACATTTTGTTTGCATTTTGAATGCATTTTAAATGCAATAAAATTTACTTTTTAAATACTCGTTCAGTTATTGTGAACAATTTATTGCACATAAAAAAAAGTTGTCTTTGCAATTTTCCATGAGAATTTTTATGAAGATATATTGTCGTAAATATTTTTTGGCTGTAGTATTATTTAGCTACCAAATCTAGTATAAAGCTTTTGGGTATTTAAGCATTTTCTAGTATTTATATATATTTAAATATTTTCTAGTATTTAAGCATATTCTAGTACTTTTTTAACTTTACTTTAATGCACATTCATTGTCTAAGTGTGAACAAACTTTTAATTGCACATTACTTAAAAAAAATTGTCTTCACAATTTTCCATGAAAACGTAACATAATAACTTGCTTCACCTATCGAATATCTTCAAACAATGAATACATTCATCGGTAACACTTTACAATAAGGGTTATGTTAATTAGGGGTTAGGTTAATGTATTAACTAACATTAACAAACAATGAACAATACATTTATTACAGTGTTTATTAATCTTTGTTAATGTTAGTTAAAGGGGTCATATGAAAAAATAATGTTCTTTTTAGCAGCATCATATGACCCCTTTAATGACAAAACAGTTGCTCATTGCTAGTTCATTTTAATTCACAGTGCATTAACTAATGTTAACAAGCACAACTTTAGATTTTAATAATGCATTAGTAAATGTTGGAATTAACATTAACTAAGATTAATAAATGCTGTAGAACTATTGTTCATGCTTAGTTCATGTTAACAAAAGTAGTTAACTAAAGTTAACTAATGAATCTTATTGTAAAGTGTTACCAATTCATCAATTTTAAGGCATAATATCACTGCCAGAGTTCAAACTCACTTGTGGCCCCGATGCCGAGTTGTAAAGTGCTGCGGTCTTTGGTCAGTCCGTTGGTTTTGGGGCTGGCAGTAGGGGCGACCGTTGCCACTGCTCTGGGCGGCCTCTTCCCGGGTACCTTTACTGTCGTCCGCAGCAAATCAATTTCTTTACCGTGGACGTTCTGCATGTAGTCCTGAAAAATGAAACATGACATTGTGTAGTTTTAGATCTAGGCCTGGAAAAATGTAAACATGTTTGACATACTGTGAAAGAGAATGATGCTGTAAAATATGTAAAAAATGTTCCAAAATGAAACATTTCAGGTTCCAATTCAATTCAACTTAATGATAGTTTTCTTAATGAGTAGGAACAAGACTATTTTAGTAAAACAATTTTGGACGAATGCACACTACTCTGAAAAAAGCTGGTGTAGAAATTGCCAGCAAATTTCAAGAAATGGTAAGTAACATTGAATTAAGCATTAAATTTAGAAAAAAATTAAATAGCATTTTCTTGTAAAAGTACTCCAATAATTGAAAAATCATTTTTTACAGCATACCTGAACCAACAATTGTCATAAAAATAACTTGGTTCCAGTATTGTTCCAGTAACTCCAATTAATATTTTCTAGTATTTAAATCTATTCTAAAATGCAAGTATTTCAGTTCTAGATTTTAAGTATATTTTAATATTTCTAGTATAATTTTTTTTGTGAACTTAAGATATATTTTCAATATTTTGAAAATGAATTACACTCAACAGTAGACTTTATTGAGATTATTATTCGAAGATTATTGGATTACGTTTTACAAGAAAATTCCTATTTTACTATTTTCTAAAATACTTTCTACTTCAAAAGTTCATTTCATTGTTAATTGTCAATGTGTTACTTAATATGCCTTTTTTTTGTAATCATTTGTGAAATTTACTAGCCATTTCTGAGTGAAAATTGTTTCTAAATCAACTTTTATCATTCACTGCTTCATTTTCATTTGCATCAAATGAAACACACCACCAATTTTAACTAAAGTTTACATGAACAAACAACGCACAGATGCAGCACATCTATAACCTATCTAAGAAACTTTTTAGAGGTCTTGTAAAACGAACACAGTGGCTTCGGACAATGAAAACAGCACCAGGCCCACACAATCTATTTCACCTGCTTCCACGTTGCCGCAGATTAGCAAAATTAGCATTAATGACTGTTCTCAGACTGTGTTCCCATTTAAATCGGGCTATTCCATTTTCATGGGAGTTTGCAAAGCGCAAATGGGCTAAGCCGAGGTGCAAATCACCCTGCTCAGCACAAAAGAGCAAGCTTCAGTTTTAAAGATAAATGTAAAGACAGAGCCTGAAAGGGGAACAGAGTCGCGTGACAGACACAGTGATGAAGCTGGTATTTGTTTGTGATGTGACCCCCTCTCTCTCTCTTTCTCTCTCTCTCGCTCTTTAGAACGAGCCGTTTTAGGGGGGTGTGGCAGAGTCTTAACTTTGATAAAGAATATCTCTTTGGTTTTGAGACTTTAGTCTTTGCAACTTCAGGGATCTTATCTATGCACAAGCAGCTTGTAACACTCCAAAGAGAAAGGAAAACTTGAAATCGCATCATATGATCCCTTTAAAAGAACTTTAGGAGAACATCAGAGGAACATTCTCCAAACCTAAATGCAACATTCTGTTTATATGAAGTAAACTTTTCTGGCTAACCAAGACAGAACCTTAGGATGTCCTTTTTTTAAATATTATTTTCATGGTTTTTACAAAATCTAAAACAAACAATAGGCCTAAGCTCATAACAGAGAGAGAAAAAAACCTTCATATATCAACAATCTGTGCAGTATATAAAAGCAAAGAGTACATTCTGAGAACAAAACATTCTTAAAATTATCTGGAATCCATAAATTATTATTAATTAACTGTAATAATTCTTAATTAATTATATTAAGAATTTGGTTAAAATGGCAAGTAACACATTGAATTAAGGGTTACATTTAGAAAAACGGAAACAGTATTTTCTTGCAAAAGTTTCTCCAATAATTGAGATATGTCTACCTGAACCAACAAATGTCATAAAAATCATTTGGTTTCAGTATTATTTAGTTACCGACTCTCATATAGTATCTCATATATAGTATTTAAGTCTATTCTAACATGTAAGTATTTAAGTGCTAGTATTTAAACATATTCTAATATTTTCTAGAATTTTTTTTTGTGAACTTAAAACATCTTTTTAATATTTTGAAAATGACAAAAATATTTTTGATTATTATTATTATAAATTATTTTTGAAGTTGTAAATATAGCAAAGATTACTGGATTACATTTTACAAGAAAATGCTATTTCAGTCTTTTCTAAAAATTCACGTTTCATTCAATGTGTTATTTGACTAATCTTTGTAATTATTTGTGAAATTTACTAGCATTTTCTGAGTGAAAAGGTTGGTTAATAGGTAAACGTGTGACGCCAAACTGGTATGCATGAATTTACACCAAACACAAATCAGTGAATCATTTATTTGAACTGGCTGACTGAACTGAATCATCAGAATGAACCGATTCAGCAAAATGAATCGGATCTCTAACAGCAGAGCAGGTGACATACTCACATGTAAACTGGGGTGGTACGTGAGCAGACCGTTGTCACACAATGTGACGTATTTCTTCTTCCACTCCTTATTAAGTGACTTCCCACTTCTTTTTAACAAAATCCCCTGTTCAAGACAAAAACAATCAGTTGCGAGAACATTTCAAATCAGAAAACATTCACAATAGTCTGAATACCAGCTGGGGCATTTTATGAAGAAACACTTTAAAGATCAGTATAAAGGAGGATCAGATGTCAAGACACTGTCATAAAGTAGAGCAGAAGTTTCCCCATACAGCACTGTGAAGCTGCATGTTCATTCACACCTGAGTCACACACACTCATTTGCATTCAATTAAGGCTTATTTACACAGTGTAGATTTTCAGTCAATTTTCACATTGTTAAAACAAAACAATGCATCACTATAGAACTCATCCCGCTGAACATTTGCAGTCAAACGGATGTTTTGTTTTACTTTTAGTATGTTTCGCTCACGTTTGTTCATTTGATTTCTTCAGTGATTCGCATCAGTTTATTGTGTCATTCTTGGTGTGAACAGAGCTTTGCATATATTGGTTTAGCAAACGATTAATCCAAAATGACAAATTAGAAATAATACAACAAAAAGAACAACCGCATAGCAGCCAGAAAAAAAAAACATTACAAATTTATAAACATAATTAAAAAATAATTTAATTAATAAACATACAGAATAATATTTTCATACAAATAATACATGTATGAAAATATTATTCTGTTTGTTTATTAATTTGATGGTTCTATAAAAGGTATCTTGTTATGGCAAAAAGATGCTGAATGAAATTAATTTTAAATATGTTTTCAAAACTAGGAGTGACAAAAGGGTGAAAGATTTTTTTAGCAGGTTATTTGGAAACATAATGTAATGTCGTTGTCGCCTCTGGCTTGCTTAGTTGGGGACACTTCATTTCCAGCGATATGTATGTATATTTTTTTCCATGTAAGCTCCCCACAAAACTTTTCACACTTTTCACTCGGTTTTGAAAACACAAATAATACAAAAATACATATAATATATAAAATACTTATATATTTGAAAACATATTAAAAATAAAAAAGTAATTACATTCTGCATCTTTATGCCATAACAAGCTACTTTTGATAGAACTGTCAAGTTAATAACGTACGAAATAATTAATTTACATAATATAAAATATAATATTTTTTATAATACATATATTTTATATACTTACAATATTATATTATATTATATTATAAAAGTCAGAGCAATCAATTCAACCATATGATATTTCTAAACAAAACAATTTTATCTCAGATAGGTGGGAAAAATAAAGTACATATAAAACTTTGCTTTGTGACAATATTATCCCACCCTCTGATCTCTTGACATCAGCGATTTCTGGTCCAAGACAAGTAAGTTTAAGGGAAAAAAATTCCAGCCCAGAACCACTTTTCCATTGGTGAAGAAGAATGGGTTTGGCACCGGCTCCGTGTCTGTGCTCATGAAGGCCTGTGAGGGGCTCATATCAGTGCTGTGGGGGGAGAGCAGAGGCTAAATCCAATTTGTGCACGGACTCGGTGTGTATTCTTTCACCTGTCAGACCTCTGCGAGCACGAGGATTAGAGCCTGTGATCCCCAGCTCTTCAAAAGCTTCCAGCCTCCGTCCCGTCCCCTGCTCAAGGCCTCACCATCAATCTCCCGCTGTTCTTTTAAAAAAACACTCACTGCGCACTTATCCCCTAAAGTCCAGCCAGGACAAACACTCCCCGGCCAGGACTGGAAGTGCACAGAGGTGTTCAGGGGTGGGCGGCAGGGAGCAAAGGGGGGTTTGGGTGGCCTGTTTTGGCTTAATTAGGGGATTAGGGAAGATTCCTGTGCTCTTTACCACTTCCTGTTGGGAGTGAGAGAGTAGGAGGGCTCTGATGTGTTAACCGGCCCGCCCCGACCCTGAAGGGGACTAATCCACATTAAGAATACACTACTTGCTAAACATCAGGTGCTGACCCGGGGTCAACTGGGTATCATGGTGTTTACCCCACAATCAAGTCCTAATCCTCTCCTCGCCTAGATCTGATCCCTTCACGGATATTCTCTCTCCTCAATACAGCTCCATCAACTCAACCGCCCTAGAAATACTACTGAAAACCTGTTGACACTTAGAGTCTCTCAAAAGGACTTTAAACATTACTTTGTAACATATATGTTTTTTGGATTTGGATAAAAGCGTCAGTCAAATGCTCACAATGAAATAAAATAAAATATGTAAAGAACAGCTTGTTATATATAATTATATATTTATTTATTTTTATATGTCTATATTACATTCACATAAGCTCAAACAGTACATAAAATAGCAAAGAAAGTGTTAAAAAACCCAACTTAAACAGTAAGTAAAATAATAAAAAATATATTATGTAAAATAAAATAAAATAAAAAATAAAATAAAAGTGATACATAAAAAATAAAGTAAGCAGTCACAGCCATCTTCTAATTTATTTATTAATTTCTCCAGCTCTGACTGATTGAATAATCCTGTAGAAACACTGTAAAGAAAGATGTGGTTGAGTCCTTTGGTCAAACTTGTCTTCTTGCCTGTATTTGGTGTCCACAATATATCATGAACATTATGCTGGAAGTGTCATTTTTTGAAGAAGCAGCCATCTGTTAGCTGAACTGGTCTTTCATTATTTGTTCAATAATGCCTGTGTATCTACAGCAGTGCTATTGGTTTGCCAATCAAATAACTGAAATGGCCAGCCGGGTGACCTCTTCTGGCAACGGCCTCTGTGTTTGTACATGAACGTCACAGTAGTCACGTCTGTTTCGAACAGTCATGGATGCATAAACATGATCGGTGAAATCACACCCCACAGTGCTGAAACAGATCGATGATAAAGCAGAGAAATATGAACGTCTAGCAGCAATAAAAAAAAACAGGGTTGATTTGTGGAACTTGACAAATGACCTCTATGTACTTCGATAATTCAGATATTAAAACAATATTTTTTAAATCATTAAAACACGTTCAACCTATTCCTTACAAAAAGTATCATTATAAAAAAGTGCTAATATGTTTTTGAAGACGATGATGGTAATACCAAAGTATTATTTGAAGTTCCTTTGGTCAAACTTGTCTTCTTGCCTGTATTTGGTGTCCACAATATATCATGAACATTATGCTGGAAGTGTCATTTTTTGAAGAAGCAGCCATCTGTTAGCTGAACTGGTCTTTCATTATTTGTTCAATAATGCCTGTGCATCTACAGCAGTGCTATTGGTTTGCCAATCAAATAACTGAAATGGCCAGCCGGGTGACCTCTTCTGGCAACGGCCTCTGTGTTTGTACATGAACGTCACAGTAGTCACGTCTGTTTCGAACAGTCATGGATGCATAAACATGATCGGTGAAATCACACCCCACAGTGCTGAAACAGATCGATGATAAAGCAGAGAAATATGAACGTCTAGCAGCAATAAAAAAAAACAGGGTTGATTTGTGGAACTTGACAAATGACCTCTATGTACTTCGATAATTCAGATATTAAAACAATATTTTTTAAATCATTAAAACACATGTTCAACCTATTCCTTACAAAAAGTATCATTATAAAAAAGTGCTAATATGTTTTTGAAGACGATGATCGTAATACCAAAGTATTATTTGAAGTTTGCACTAAGTGTCATAAATCTAAATATCAGAAATCAAAATAAAGCGCCATATTGCCATCTGATATCATCAGTGTACAACACTTTTTTTTTGCAAGGGATATATTATTACAGTAAATAATTTATGAATTTCAGTAAAATAACAAATAAAAAAACAATCATATATTTATAACTTAATAAATTCCTATTTTAAAATAATTATACATAATTGTAGTGTTGTAGTGTTTTGTATTACCTTGATGTAAATAAATGAATTGCATTACAGTAAATTTTGAGTGTAAAATAAATAAAAAATGTAAATAAATTGCACTACAGTAATATGAGGAAAACAATTATAGAAAATTTTAAGCAAGTAAATTGCATTACAGTGAATTCAGAGTATAAAATATGATAAATTACAATAAATTATTAATATAAAATAATAAATAAAATATGATAATAAATTGCAAATTGCATTGAGCATAAAATAATAGAAATTTCGATGTAAATAAATAAATAGCATTACAGTAACTTTTGAATAAAAAAAATAAACAATTTAATGTAAATAAATTGGATTACAAATATAATGAATAAAATAATAGAAAAAAATAAATAAAAGAAAAATGTTAAAAAAAAAATAGAAAAATGTATGTAAATAAATAGCATAACATAAAATTTTGAGTAAAAAAAATATTAGAAATTTTGATGTAAATTAAATTTAGAGTATAAAATGAATTGATGTTAAAAAACTTGTATTACAGTAAAATTAGTATAAAACTGCATTACAGTATAATAACATTCACCCTAATGCCACCCAAAAGGTGGTTATTTACATTAGACTTCGTTTTTACCAAGATGAATATACAAACGCCTTATTTAATGACCACACACCTGTCTGTCCTCTATCTGCTAAACCTACAGAGACACAGACAGCGACCCCTCTCATCTTGCAGCTCAAACAGACACGTCTATCATCATGATGGCCTCTGTTCTGTGGTCAGCGGAGGAGGAAAGAAAGAGGAACTTACTGGGATTAAACACAAAAGCCTTCTGTTGACAGTCTCCTTGTGTCACCCCTGAGCTATCACTGCTATTGTTGTCCTTATTTACCATTTTTACTGATTGGGAGGGGTGTCCACAGTGTGTAATTTGCCCAGTGGGAGGTAATTATACTCCCACGGCACTTTGATCTTCCTGACTGTGCATTTGACTGGCCAGGGAATCAGCTCCATTGAAAGGTATCCCAGCATGGCCAGCATCCCCCCTCTCCTTTACTCTCTCTGTGACTCTCCACTACAGACACACGGATTACAATGACGGCTCTTAAAGGGATAATCTTTAAAGCTGGAGTGTAATTGATGTACAATGGAGGTAAAGTAAAGGAGGTTGACTGAGAGGATACAGACGTGTGATATGTTAACTGTGAGAGGGACGCGTCACCCCCGTCATCTTAATGCTATGATCCATATACACCTGACTGCTCATTCACTTTTCAGTAAGAAAGAAAAAATAATGAAATTGAGATTCATTTACTTTTCAGATCTTTAATTTATAATAAAACTGCCTCATGCAAACTGCAGTTCAGTTACTTGTATAAAATTTATGTGTGTATTTTTTTCTCAGAGCACACAACAGAAACTGATTTCTGAATTACGCTTGACTACATTAAATCACAAAATTCATTTAACAACAAACTACTTTTGTAAACTGTTCTAAACTGTAAACTTTTCAAAACTACTTTCTCTATAAACTACTATATGTAAAATATTTGTAAACTAGTTTTGTAAACTACTTCTAAACTACCTTATTTGTAAACTACTATCTGGAAACTATTTCCAAACTACTTCAAAACTAGTTTATTTATATAATATTACTTGGAAATGATTTCTAAACTACTTTTGTAAATAATTTTTGTTTTATTTGTATTTGTATGTTTATTTGTAAACATCCCTAAACTACTACATGGCAATAATTTCTTCGATAAACTACTACTATTAACTACTTTAATTTGGAAACTATTTAAACTACCTTTGTAAAGTAATTCTAAACTATTTTATTTAAAAACAATTTCTAAACTACTTTGAAATGATTATTTGTAAACTACTTCTAAACTAGTTTTGCAAACGAGTTCTAAACTATCTTGAAAAATTACCATTTGAAAACTATTTCTGAACTACTATTTGGAAGCTACTTCTAAACAATTTTATTTGGAAACTATTTCTAAACTACTATATGAAAATTGTTTCTAAATTACTTTTATAAAGTTCTTCTAAACTACCTGATTTGTAAACTACTATTTGTAAACTACTTCTAAACTACTATATTGAAACCATTTCTAAATTAATTTTATAAACTACTTCTAAACTACTTAATTTGTAAACTACTATCTGTAAACTACTTCTAAACTACTATATAGAAACTATTGCTAAATATACTTGAAAATGACTTTAAAACTCTTTTGTATGTAAATTACTGTGTGCAACCGGATTTGCTTAAAGTCAGAGGTTGCATGTGACGCTTGTCATGGGATGATGTCTGTTCAATGTGACAATGCTAATCTCTGGCAGGGGTTAAAGGTTAAGGCTAGGGTTAATTTGAAAATTGAATCAGAGGCTCAAAAAAGAACAAATGAATGGACAACTCTACTAAAGAAAAATAAATATTTGACAGCTACTCCGTCATGAACTACTGCTAATTACCAAGATCAATCCTTTCAAAACCACATTAGCTCTTTCTGACGTCAGGCAGGGTATTTCGATAAACAGAATTAAATTTCTGTTCAAACCCATACAATAAAAAAAACTGACTAATGTAGAATGTAAAAATGTTTAGACATTTCTTTCTCCTGAATGTTAAAGGTTGCCAAAAGTTTCTGTACATTATTAAAAAATACCAGTTCTAAATCATATTCAATGATTCAATCACGATAAATATATATATAGATAGATAGATATAGATAGATAGAGACACACACACAAATAAATAAATATATATATATATATTAGCGCTGTCAAACAATTAATCGCGATTAATCGCATCCAAAATAAAAGTCTTTGTTTACATAATATGCGTGTATACTGTGTATATTTATGTATATATAAATACACACACATGCATGTATATATTTAAGAAAGATATGTTATGTTTATGTATTAAATATATATTTATATAATATAAAATATATAAACGTAAATACATGTAAATATTTTCTAAATATATACTGTATGTGTGTGTATTTATATATACATAATAAACATACACAGTACACATACATATATTATGTAAACAAAAACTTTTGTTTATTAATTTATTAGTTATTAGTTTATTTATTGTTTATAAATTAATCGTTTTGACAGCACTAATATATATATATATATATATATATATATAGAAATAGAAATAGAAATTTAAGGATTCAAAGACAATGAAGATTTCCTAACATGTAAGTTCATTGACATTCAAACACATCATGAGAAGAGCAGGCCAAAGACTGAATACCAATTTCTTATAATATTGCAATTGATTCACAAAAAAGATTTTGTAGCAAAGAGTAAGTTGCCAAATAATTGTGATATGCATTACACAAATATAATTTGAATATACATAATATAATTATAATAATATACATATAATTCAGCATTCTGCATACCAACTACCGCCATTACTGACAACAGGTCCGACAGAATAAGCAAACAAAGTTAAACTGTGTTACACTGACATCTGTTGGTCGCACAAAGAAACTGACTGAGAAAGCCTAAAACAATCAAGTCCATAATTTCAAAGTCTTTAAAAAGTGTGCATGCTCTTTTAGTGCTGACACACACACACACAACTCATATATACCCACAAAATCACTACTTAGGATATTGACACTTGACTAATCCTCATAAACTATATACAGTCCTACCCTATAACAGTGTACTTACCTCATATAATGAGTGTACGAATGTGGTGACGTACCTGTTTGATGGGTATGGCCCTTCCACTCCCTATACTGTCAGTTTTACTCTCAATGCTCTTTGTCTGATCACTGGCTTTCCGTGACTGCAAAGAAACAAGACAAGATGTCAGTGCAAAGAACAAACTGGGAACACACATGGAGGTGGGGAGGGTGTGTGTGTGTGTGTGTGTCTGTGAGTTGTGCCTTAACTCTAGTGTGTGTATCTAAAGTGAAGTGAGTGTTGGTGTGTGTTGTGGGGACAACATAAAATCGCAAGAAAAAGGCTCAAATAAACGCGCAAGCAGAACGGTGCAAACATACAGCAGCACATTGAACGTGCAGTATATATAAATATATATTTACACAGACCAGGACAGACACACAGAACAAAACGACAACGGAAAAGATCAAGTTCGACCAATAACGAAACACAGGAAGTCAGAACTAAACCCCCCAAGAGCTCTTTTGTGGTCTTTGGCGCCTCCCTGTGGCTTTACCAACCACAGACACAAGTCAGTCCAACCACAGTCAGATTCAAACAATACAAGAACATTAAATGCAGCTTTATACAACAAATGTGAGAAAGGTTAGCAGAGGGGAAACAAGAAGAAATGAATACGGTGCATCTTTTCCCACAGCTTCCACCTGTTAAAACATCGGATAAACAAGTCAGGCGAGAATAAAAAAGATTCACAATTAGGGTTAGATTCACAAACATTTCAAACAAAGCAAAATCAAGGGAAAAAAGTTTAGGGAATTAATTTATACATCATTTCAGCTCTGGATTTCAAGACGTCCTTTGCTTTTCAGTGGCTGGAAATGGCATTAGGGAAAGAATAAACGTTAAACAATGAATTCTCTCATACAAAACGACCCACAATGCAACATGAATGAGCATTCATACCCGACAGACAACATTATGGTCTCATACGAATCAACATGTGGCGCTCATTCGCAAATGGAGAGAAATAGATAAAGATTCATGATCGACTCAAATAAACTAGACTAATGAGTATTTTTCAACAGTTTATTTTTTTCGTTTGGATATATACAGACACCATACAAATCAAGTCACAGGTTTACGTGGAAATAGGCAGAGCCACACATTGCAGTTCCCACAAGAGAGAGTTTGACTAAAGAGGCGCTGTTTCATATATCTCATATATGTATAGAATATACTTTCTATAGAATACCATTGGAAATCAAATTCAATACAAGATATACGGCAGTCTATATTTGTCCAATATTAAATGATATTAAAAAAATGAAACAGTGTGCAACGCATCGAACAGTTCTTTCTTTCTTTCTTTCTTTGTAGGTGACTGTCCAAATTATACCCTTTACTCTACTAGGTAACAAATTTACTCTTTCACTATGACCAAAAAGACTATGATTATAAGGCCACTCTTGACTTGGAACAAAAATATAATATCTAACATAAATTATATGTATATGACTTCGAAAAAATCTGCCGAAAACTCTGGTGATCAGCTAGCAAACACAAAACAAAGGCTTTCCTCATTTTTGCATGCTATTTCTGAAAATTTAGCTCGGAGTGGCTGTTACGATCCAATTGCCAATGAGATGATTGGTTAGAGATGTCGTTGTAAGGGGAAATTAGTAACCGATCCAGATCTCCCGGCCATCTTCTGAACGTCGTAGAGAAGCTGCGTGGCCCCTCCCTCCTTGGTCTGGCTCCTCCCACTCTCCCTCCCCGCCCTCACCCCTGTTCCCGCCCACACTGTAAGTCCGGCTCCTCAGAAGGTCATGAGTTGAAACTCCCGTTCGCTTTATAGAATATACTTTCTATAGAATACCATTGGAAATCAAATTCAATACAAGATATACGGCAGTCTATATTTGTCCAATATTAAATGATATTAAAAAAATGAAACAGTGTGCAACGCATCGAACAGTTCATCTCAGCACATCGTCATGAAATTAAAAAAAATGAATAAGCAAAAACAATTAAACAAAAGAACAAAATAATGGCTCTGGGTCACAAATAGATACTACATTCATACAAGTCGGTGCATTTCCGTCACGCTTCTCTACGTCTATGAAGGCCTTCATATCGTTCAGACTTCACACCGAGCGAGGAAACCGCATCCGGGCGTTGCCGCGGCAACTGCATCAACTAAACGAGCAGCTTTATAAATGCATCACAACGCAATGTGACGTCTCAGGGCATCATCTGACATCAGTTTCACAGTTAAATGGTGGTCAGCATATCGGTCGGCACGAACACGTAAGCTATGTCATCCGGAATCCGGATTCACATCTTTTTATTGTTGAGGGATCCGTCACTATGCCGACTTTGCAGCATCAGAACCTCGACTAGCATCACATTCCAGTATGACGTGGTTTACAAAGCCGCGGTCTTGTTAATAAAGATGACACGGGAGCCATGGGGTGCGGTTTGTGGCATTCGGTGTGAAGTGTGACCAGCTAAACTAACCCATCAGACACAGAACTCAAAGGAAAGACAGGCAAAACAGGAAAATAAATAGGAAAAAAAGAGAATATCTTGGCAAAGTGTTCGGAATTACCGCAAAAGTTCTCTCCATTTGAGTTACAAAGCATCCTTTCCATTAAATTTTGGACGTTGTTGATGGCTATTGTCCGGGTTTGTTCAGTGCATGATGAACATTTAGCAATAAAATGACTGATTATGATTCAGTTCAATGTGTTCAGGTAACGCAAGTTCGAAATCTGTCTTTTTCTGTCCAACCAAATGTCCTTTAAACTCAACCATGGCTGCCAAGGGGCAGGTGTCCAAGAAAGCCATGGTGATACCCACGATGCAATGCGGGCTATTAGGGGGAATAAAGCAGCGCTTGTTTGCTCGTCCTCACTGAGGACCCCCTCCCATAATGCATTGCGGTCGTACCACCACCACCATCAAGGGCTCGTCTAATTGAGGAGAAGCTGGAAAGCCCTTTTAGTTGAAGAAAGGTTGGAAACAGATGAACAAATCTGGAAATAGCGACAAAAACAGTTCAACACTTTGGTCAAGGGGAGTGTGGACAGAAAGATTGTAGGGGGGGGGGAGCAATGGATCGCAAAAAAAATGCGTAGACATCTAGATTGGAGATGATGGCGGATGTAGTATGATTATTGGCTTTTTACAGGGCAAAATAGCGATGATGTGTCGAGAAAATAATGAAATAAAATAAACCCCTTCCCTCTTCCTGTTCACTCACAGAATGAAAAATAAACAGACGCCACATTAGACCGATGACAAAAATATCTGAATGGTCGTTTTAAGTATCATGGAAGCACTGTGCTTAGTTTCCTGTCCTCTGCTGACATCTAGTGGCAAAGACACACACTTATGAAATGATATTAATGTGAGAATGTTATGAATTATGAGGTGACAGGAAATATTACTAAATTGGCAAACTGTTGGTTTTATATTATTCAATAATTACATGAGCTTTAGTTTTAAATTTTTTAAAAAGTAACTATTATTTTTTATAATATCTTTAACAAAATATTTAATTATGGCTTTCTTTAAAATGTAAATATTTTATTTTTTATTAAGTATGGGAAAAAATTATTTGTTACTGATTGCAAACAAAAAATGTGTCTCGCGTGGATGGGGTTAGACACGACCTAGCAGGGAGGGAGGGAGAAAGAGGACAGGGGAAGCTAGCACAAGAGCCGCCACTGCCACAGCCAATCACCTTGCAGGATCCTTCTGATTGGAGGAGACTTTGGGGGGTGGGAATGGGGACAAATTCAATTGGTTTGGATTGGGGTTTGGGGGTGGTGATTGGCTGAATGGATAAAGGTGGATCTTGATTGGTTAGATTGGAGATGGTGGTGTTGCTAGTACAGTGTGTGTGGCACTGCCTCTCTCTCTCTGTCTGGCTCCAGCGGAAAGACACGCTAGGTGAATGTCTGTTAAAGAAGAGAAGGGGGCGGGGCTTGCTAGGGAATTTTGCTGATTGACACAGTGAAATTAGGAAGGGCACAGGGAAAACATCAGTATCGGGGAGGGCAGGTATTCAAATCCAGAGAAGATAAAAAGCTAAGTTCCCTTGGTGTAAAGCTTTTAAATTTACAGTGTATAAAGGACGAGGCAAATCAAAATGGTGGAAAAATTAGCGTAAATCCAAGTGTCTTTCCTTTTCCTAAACATCTCTCGTCATTTTAATGCTTGCCTCCCTGCGTTTACTGAAATATGTAGCTATAAAAAGCATGTGGTCATGCGCTTCAGTGGTAGCAGAGGCAGGAGGGATTCGGTTACACTTAGCTCTGGACCTCCCTCTTGTGGTCAGAGATGGCATTAAACTCTCTGGCTTTGCCCTCCACTGCCCTGGGTTTGAGGGGAAGGGGGTGATGAGACCTAAGGGCAGATCCACTCACTGCAGACCTAGAAACAGCTTCTCTCTAGCTCACTGGCCGTCTGAAAGCAGCAGGGGCTGCTGGGAGATCTGCAGTCAGGGGAAGTCCAGCACTCTCAGTAGTGGGAGTGCGTGGTGCTCTGCATTAGCTGCCTCATACTTACTGTGAAGATGTTGGAGCGCCGTTTGGACTGCTTGCGGATGGGCGTGGGAGTGTTGGAGGCAGCCACTGTCTCGATGCGCATTTCCCTCTGGCTTATGCTGGGGGTGGAGGGAACGGAGGACGAGTAATCACTGAACGCGCCTCCTCCATTAGCAGCCTGAATCAAACAGAGAGGGAATGGGGAGAGATAGATAGATAGATAGATAGATAGATAGATTTTGGGGAAAGCAATTAAGAATAGGAAAGGAGCAAGAGAGATATAGTGAACACAAAATTATCAGCATGATTTTCTGGATTTTGACAGGCAGCACACTTTATATGGTTTATTATAGTTCATAAAGGCCTATTCTTCCATCCCAATTCTCATGTTTGTACTATGTATATAAATATGGTGATATGAAAGCACATTTGAGTGTGCACTAAGTCTTGATACTTTGTTGCATACTACGAGTGTTTGTTAGTACCATGATAAACCTTTTATTGCATTAAATATCATAGCTACTACAATTATTGTTCCTGTTGTAAAACTATAATAAACATTTCTGTTATTTTATTTTATTTATTTGTGATGACAGTTTTTTTTAAAGGGGTCCTATTATGCTCTTTTACAAAGTCTTTATTTTGCTTGGGGGTGTACTAGAACAGGATATCATACTAGGTTGTTCGAAAAACACATTATTTTTCACATATTTTTTGCCTTCTCTAGTGCAGCTCAACCAGGTCTCGTCCCATTCGTCGATATTTGTGATATCACAAATCCCCGAAAATATGCGTTGTAGTCCAAACGAGTTGTTCGTTGTAGTTTTTGAAAAGTGATTTCTGTTAAATAAAATATCTCCTTTTGAATTGGACTTTGAACTTTGTAACTTTGCAGATCTTTTTTATGCTCAAACAGCAACATTACAGACTAACTAAAGTTGAAAAAGTGAAAAAGCATAATAGGACCCCTTTAAGTAAAAATAACTGTTTTGGTGGAAAATATGGTTACATTTTCAGAATTGAAATATCAATATACAGGTTTTGGCTGAGTGAGGCTGATCCTAGATCAGCACAAACACCCCAGACTCACCTGATTGATGTGTACAGAGGGGATGGACGCGGCCGGGACCGACGAGTGGCTGGGAGAGTTGGGCAGAGATTTACACGGACCAATCGAAAGCTGCTGTTTTTTCCTCAGCGCCACCACTTTCTGAGCAACTGCAATCACACATCAGAAATATTACAACTATGAAATCCACGCATTAAAAAGATTAAAAGTGACAGTAAAGACATTTATAACGTTACAAAAGATTTTAGTTTCAAACAAATGCTGTTCTTTTGAAATTTCTATTCATCAAAGAACCCTGAATGTATCATGGTTTCTATAAATAAATAAAAAACTACATCACAAGAAATTACATTTTAAAATATATTCAAATAGAAATAGAATATTTCACAATTTTACTGTATTTCTAGACTTTTGAACTATAGTGTAAAAGTATGCAAGTATCTCTTGTACACTGAATAAAAAAAATTTATGAACTGTATATATTAGTTTGACTTAAAAATATCAAATTGAATTAAAAAATAATAAATTAAAATATTTTTTTTAAATCATTTTTTAAATATAAAAAACTATTATAAAAAATGTTTATAAATATTGTAAAAATAAAAGCAATTTAACATGTTTCGCACAGCTTGTCTTGATACTAGCAGTTTTGTTGTTTTAGTCCTGCATATAACCAACTACAGTATATGCATATGGGAACAATTAATAATTTAGCTGTCTATTAATAACCTATAACATCTCAAAGCCACTGATTTGCAGTAAACGTGACTACAAGCATAAATAAGACTACAAATTAATTTATTTGCAAACATAATTCATGAAGGGCGATACATTTACATTCAGTGCTTATTATTATGGTAGGGAGATGTTCATTATTTATGTACAGTATGTTAAAATTTTTCAGTTCTAATTCGATTGTAATGACGCACATAAGGTTTCTTCCACAGCTGTGAAATGTTTTCGTGCAGATTTACTGCATAAAACTGGAAACCCTGGAGACTTGCAGTGTGCCTACAGCCATTTAACAAGTGACTCAACATTATTCACTTTTACTTTTCGCAAAAACAAAGAAAGAAAGAAACTAAGAGGAAGACTAAACGAAAGAACCAGCAAAGTCAAGATGATGTTGATCCGTCTGCGTTTTCAAAGAGTCGAACGGCTCACCGTCTCCAGATAACAAGCGCATCTCTGTCTTTTAATTATTATTATTATTATTACACGCAGGAGAAAACAGCAACCGTCAACACTCTGGCAATAAAGGCAGGGACGAGAGAAATCCATCTTGACAACTATGATATTGGACAGCGCGGAGGAACCTGCAACACTGCGGAGCAATAAAGCTGCTGGAATTATCACAGCCCCTGCAACTGCGGGGGGAAGTCTCACACGGATATATAGAGCAGCGATACCAGATTACTGTGCGGCTGCTTGATGAATACTTATGTAATATGTATTTCTAGGTGCTGTGAAACCACTCTACCTCGAGCAGGCGGCTAGAGGGACACAAAAGAGATGTGTGGGCAGATTTCTGTAGCTTACTCTGCGATACATTCATGCCACATGACGACAGTGGGCGGAAGAGAGCGCTATCAGTGAACTCAAGAGTGCCACTGATATTCCAGCTGGTTTTCGGGATTGTTCATGAATGCACTAACCACTACCGGTGTAAAAACACGCTGAAAAAACACAGCTCTTTGTTAGATGAGGAGATAAAAGCAGGATCCAGAGCAAAGACAGAACTATGGATGATGATGCATTCAGAACGTCTCACAACCATCCTTAAAATCTGCGGTATGTACATAATATAATGCAATAAACTAATAATAAAACTTGGTTCTCGCAAGACTAGCATATTACGCTAGGAACTCTGCTGGAACGCCACTCTCTCGTGAGCCCGCATACAACAGTTAGCGGAAGCTAGAGATTATGGTTTATAAAGATTTAAATATGGATAATTTTCTTACACAAACACATCGATTCACTTCAGAAGGCCTTTATTAACCCCCCGGAGCCGTGTGGAGCACTTTTTGTGATGGATGAATGCACTTTTTTGGGCTTCAAAATCTCAACACCCATTCACTGCCATTATAAAGCTTGCAAGGGCCAGGACATTTTTTAAAATAACCCTGATTGTATTCGTCTGAAAGAAGAAAGTCATATACACCTAGGATGGCTTGAGGGTGAGTAAATCATGGGGTAATTTTCATTTTTGGGTGAACTGTCCCTTTAACTGCAAACTAGGTTAGTAAACTCACACCTGAGGATAAATACTTGGCATTAACACTTAAAGTAGCGTTCAGAGACACTGGTTATCACATCAGGCATCTCACCATCTTGAAAGACTCTTTCCACGTTAAGACCATAGGTGGAGCAGGTTTCGTAATACGTGGAGCGTTTCAGGTCGTTGGATAGTTTCCGAGCCCGGGCATCATCTATCACTCTTGGGTTGGCAGCGCTGATGGCATCTAGAAATCATAAGATGGCATAAGACATGGCATATTCATTTTTGGGTGTACTATTCCTTTAAACTAGCTCTTCGGCACACATAATGACAGTACAGCATCTACATGTTCATAATTGTTAATTATGAGTCTCATCAAAGTGCAATTTGCAAACAAGTACTGGGTGAATGAGTAAGAAAGAGTCTTTTTATCCTGCAGCTTTGTTAAAGCAAGACGAATGTACTATTTCGTCACCTTTAGACGATGACTAATTGCGAGACTTCCATGGCGGATTTAATAAAAACAAGTGCACATCATATTTTGTGTATCCCGTGTTCTACTGCAGAAGAATAATAGAGTCAGTGATGGTGTTATGACTCACCCTGCGTCCCCACCAGCACCATGGGAACCTCTGCCGTGTTCCTGTAGCTGGAAAGACGCAGGAAGTAGTTATAAACTGTCTGGAAGCTGATCTCATCCTCCAAGCTGAAGACGAACACCACCGCGTCCACCCAGGCAGCAAACTGAAATACGCCAACAAAATCTTATCAATCCAACCATCTCTAAATAACATCTTTTGATTTAGCTATCAGATTTTGCTTTTTTTTTCCACATGAAAATATATTATAATATAATGTAGTAATATTTTTAATCAGTTTTTATTTTTTTACTTTCCATTTTCATTGTAATTTTAGATGCAGTTATAGTTATTTTGTTTTGTGTTTTGTTTATTTATTAATACAAATTTATTAAATAATTAATACAATTTGGGGTCGGTAGGTTTGTTATTTTGAAAGAAATTAATACTTTTATTCAACAGGCTTGCATTTAAAAAAAAATCACATTTCATATAATTTAGAATAATATAATATATAAATAAAATAAACTTCTTTTATTAAACAAATCTTATTTTTGAATGGTAGTATGCATATATGTGTGTGTGTGTGTATTTTTAATTTTATTTATTTATTTTATGTATGCATGTATGTATGTATGTATGTATGCATGTATTTATTTTTATTTTATTTTTACATTTTTTGTTATTTTACTACATCAAGTTAAACTAAATTAAAATAAGAAATTCTGCATTGGCAACTAGTAGAAATATTTTTTATTTTAATTTAATGTTTATTTTATTTAAAGTATCTATCTATCTAAACAGCCACTGAGTAGATGAATCATGTTATATGCCAGTTATATTTTGTAATGTAGGAAGATACGTTTCGGTAATTTTAAGCAAACTTAGTTGTTTACTGAAGCCCATGTGTGAGTTATTCCTCTATTTGTTTTCCATTACCTGCAGGAGAATAATTCTAATCATGGATAAATTACACGACCAGTCACTGTTTCGGGGCCCTGAGACACACTCATTGACGTCTGCTTGAAATTTGAAGGGCCATATCACAAATTCTTGTGGTAATTTGCATTCTAATCAATTATGCATTACCATAAAACCAGCTAAACGGAACACAGACTAACAGAGAATAATTATCGCCGCTATTCCACCAGGAGCTACAGCGGCAGAAAAGTTTCACTCGAAATCCCCATTCCCACAACTCAGGAAGCGAGTCCTCATCCCCGGCTGAAAGCTGCCGTGAGAACCATCAGACTATAATTACACTGAGCCGCAGCAAAATGTGAAAATAGGGCCACCCTGAAATGGGCCCCACGGGGTAAGTACAGCGGTTCATCTCGACACGGCCCCGCGTCCCGCTCTATGCTGGGGGAATGAGGACTGGGTGACACATTTGTGGAATATTTTAGCAGCTATTTGGACAGTTCTCTGCTCTCCTCAACTTGTGAAAAATCTCCCTTTCTCGGATATCATCAATTATTGTAGCCCTGGAGCTGCAAATTGAACTAGATAATTAAGGTATTTGGTGTAATACTACATTAGTATTTTACATGGTGATATGTAAACAGTTTTTATCCACAAAAGCTACAGTTATATGTCCTTACATGACCAGAAAATGTCCTTTAAGGAACAATTCACCCAACTTACGACTTACTTTCTTCAGTGGAGAACAAAAGGAGACATTTTCAAGAACGTTCACGCTGCTCTTTTCCATACAGTGACCAATAAGTACATTCATTTCCCCTATTTTTACAATTAGTTTACCTTTGCCGCCATTTAAACACTCTCTTTAAGTTAATCTATAAAAACACTAATAATTTAATAACACTGTTACATGTTATTTTTAGCAAATCTGAAAATGAATGTGCATTATAATGTTGTCACGCCTTAATTCATTTGGAACATTTGAAATTATTTATTTTGAATGAACTAATATTACAATTCCATGCTAATTTGTCTATTTACTGGTTATCTGCCATAATGTGAACTATTATCAGTTTATTGTATTTTAATTTTAAAATCTGTTAATCTGTATAAGTATTAATGACAACATATTCATATCATCTCCTTTTGGGTTCCACAGAAGAAATAAAGTCATACCAGTTTGAAAACACATGGAGAAATGAGGGCAGATTAATTAATTAAATTTTTTTTTTTTTTTAAAACTATTCCTATAACTTATATTTTATTACATATTTTATCATAGTTTTCAATAAAGCTTTATAATTAAAGGAAAAATTTGACATTTCTTGAAGTGTTGTTAACTAATTGTTAACTAAAACTAAAACTATTAAAATTTTTGTTGTTAATTGAAATAAAGCTTAAAAATAAAATTTACAAATTTTATAGAAATACTGTCTTGGCAACTAACTGAAATAAACAAAGTTTAAGTTGAAGAACTAAAATTACTAAAACTGAAATAAAAAGAAATAGCTAAATAGAAGCTAAATAAAATGACAACAGCATGTAATAAAATTACTAAAAGTAAATTAAAATAAAAAATAAAAAATATAAAAATAAATGTTACTATCGAAATATGAATAAATACTGTAATAGCATATAAATAATGCTAAAATAACACTGCTTTCCAGTGTTATTTTAGTATCGCTGAGATATAGTTTTTATTAATATTTTAAATCAGTTTTTATCTTTATATATTTTCTGTTTTGATTTTAATATTAGTAACATTTTTAGTAATTTTGTTGTGTGTGTTTTGTAATTTTCAGTAGTTTTTTTATGTCTATACAGTTTTTATTATTGTTTTTATTTCAGTTTTATTTTTAGTTATTTTAGTACAAGTTAAACTAAATTAAAATGAGAAATACTGTCTTGCATCTAGCTGAAATAAAACGTTTTATATATGTAATATATATTTTTATTCATTTCAGTTAATGTTCATTTTATTTCAAGTAACAACTTTTTATGGTTTTAATTTTAGTTTTGGTTAACTATAATAACTCTGCTGCTTTCATATTTAACTTGAGGCTTACCTGCAGTTCTGGTGGGCCGCCTTCATCCCTGATCAGCAAGAGATAACTCTGTCCATCCACCACAATCTCCTTTTTAAACCTCCCTCCTGCAAGAACACAGAATAACATTACTTGTACTGTTTCTACAACATGGTCCTCTCTGAAGCTCATTTACCAGCAGGCAGTGTGCCACTGACGTCAATGCCATCAAGATTAAGGGACTGAAGATACACCCCTGAGGAACTCCCTTCAGCTCCATCAATCTGAACGCACAAGCATTTCTAATTTTCAGCTTACGCATACCTTCTGGCAGTTGTGAAGTGTTGGACAAGAGATGGAGAAAGAGAGAGAAAGAGCCAACGAGTTAGTGAGCGTGTAAATGAGTGTTTGGGATGAATGTGTTTGCATGTCTAAACATGACTAATGATTAAACCCATCAGAGTGCTGCCCATCGCTCCTGCTTCATTATACAGCACATGGAAACATGGTTAACACAGAATAGATCAACTGATAAAAAAGAAATATCAGCCAACAAATGAAATTAGGCAAGCCTTATCCGAAATCTGAGTTATTTCGACACCAGCAGTGAGATGAGAGTCTGAGACTTTGATTTTTCACCCTTCATTTATTCCCTTCTCAACAGATGTGTTTTTTTTTTCCTTTCTCACAGCCGCTGGCGCTGAAAGCTGATGGAACTTTGATGCCATTGAGATTCCCTCAAATTAAATTGCACTTTTTTATAGTAGGAAAGTTTGTGTAGACGAATGAAACTTGCCTCATGGTAATCTTCTAGGAGGACAAAAGAGGAAGGGTGAGATCTTCGCAGATTATGACAGGTGAAAAAGGCAAGGCAATGTGTAGAATATATGAACAGCCTGGAGAGAAAAGGGCTGAATTTGGTTGAACCTTCACCTGAAAGTGTTAGGAATTTAATTTAAATAAGGCACAGAATGTTACAGTGGCATGGTACAGAGGTTATGTAACAATGTTAGCTGACAGAATTATAATATTATAAAAAAAATTAAATAACAAAATAGAAATATAAAAAATGTATTTAAAATATTTAAACTATTTGTAAAAGAAATAATAAAAACAATTTTTATATTAAACAAAAATATAATGAGTATATAATAACTTATATATCATATTGAAAGAATAATGAATTACTATAATAATTAGCATAATTTCTATTTATATAAATAAAATATTCAAAATGATTCATTCTAAACAAATTAATTTTATTTTACTGTAAAAATATAATAATGAAAGAAATAATAATAAACTATCAATATGTTACATGAAAATTATATATATAATTATAATAATTCATTTAAAAACAGTGTTTTAACGTAAAAAATAGCGATGAAAAACCTAAATGATAAATAAATAATACTTGTGTATGTATGTATATATATAAATCAAAACAATTACTAATAACTATATTTTAATAATCAAATCATTATTAAAGCAATAAACAAGAAAAATTAAACTGCTTTGATTATCCCAGTGAATACTGTTCATGAGGGGACTGTATTGTGCAAAATACAATGAGATGAACAATGCAATGAACTTAACTTGACCTTGACTGAATAAACATAAAGTGATTAGATTGACTATTTTAAAACATGTTTTGATTCATTATTTGATCTGACTGCCAAAAATTAAGGATAAAAGGTATTACACAAAATCGAATTAAAAATGCAGAGCAATTAGAGCTGGACACCCTTGACATGCAACGTGATGAGAAAATGTGACAATGTAGCATAATGCATACTCTTTCACTATAAAAAAGTAGTCAGCATTCAGTTCAGTTCATTCAGCACATGACTTCCCTTTACATTAACTCTGGAGCTTTGTCACTCCTGAGCACCTCCCAGGAGGGTTTTTATTGGGTAAATATAATGATTGAATGCTTGTTGCACAGTGTATGACTGGAAGCTGCTGAAGTTCGTGCCACATAGCAAATCTTTACTTCCAAGTTCAGTGACCCCTGGAGTAAATTGGCATTAAGAGGTTCACTGGAGCGCTGAGGGACGTTAATAATAGCGGAACGAAACACAACATGACGCTATAGAGATTTCAGCCAGCAACCTCATATCAACTGAGAGATATTGTCCATAAAGCCAGTACGCCAAGCACACTACACTTTTAATTATTCCACCTGTGTCCTGAGAATCCATCCATTTTTATTCCATCAATGCTTCCCTTGAGACTAAAAGCAAATTAAAACGAGTAAAAAAAACGTGTAAAATTCAGCATCGTTTTTGCTCTAACAGGAAAAAGTGAACAATATGTTCATATTGGCCAATATGAATACACCTGCAAGCATAATAAATATGAAAAATAGCAATGTGTGATATTTATTGTCTACGATAACATCATAACTGTTGTTTTAACAATATGCAAACTGACATTATCAAGTCACTCACTTTGCAAAAAACAAACAGAGAGAGTCCAAAAGCATTCACTGCATGAAGACTACTAGAATGCAGTTCGAATGCATATATAATTTGAGTTATAAAAGCAAAAAATATCCCTGTATGGGTTTTTGTTTTTTATATTTATAAGATAAGATATAGCTAAGTAATATCACATAAGCAAGAGTGCTGTTTTCCTGAATATTAGCATGTGAGCATGTGAGCATGATCGCAAACGTGATATTAACTTTATACACAGTTTAAAAAAAAGAAAAGTTAATTTTTTGCATCTCAGAGAAACGCTGCATGTCTCATTCCTGAATGAATCTGTTTTTGAATTAATCATTTGAGTCAATGATTCATAAAGACTATTAATAAAGTCACTTGCTTTGTTTTTTAAATGAATCAGTCATTTGAATGAATCATTTGAATGAATGATTCAATTAATCACTCATTAAGACTGGTGGTCATATTTATTTATCCATGACAGGCCTAAACCAGTCAAGGTACCAGCATAAAAAAACACTAAGCAAAATAATGTTTAATTATCGTTATCGAAAAAAAAACACAAAAAAATATCAACATAATTTTTTGTCAATATCACACACTCCCAATGCAAAAATAACTTAATTACTGAAGAAAATGCAAGTTATGCTGGTATGCAAAACAGGCTGCAACTGTCTGAAAATCACTTTTAGTTTTTCCCCAATCCACGATTTGAGAAATCAACTAGTTTAAATCTCTAACTCTAAAATATGTGCAATAATTCTTGCATTAAGAAGCACCACTAAAACGGTTGTTTAATTGAAAAGAACTGAATTTAACAGCTTTTGTTTTCTGGCGCATTCACTGAAGCTTTTAAAGTAGGAGATAATTGCATTGGAGCCAGAAAGGGCATGTCTGAACAAGATAGGACAGAACAAAAATCCCTCCAGCAAAGTTTCCTGCTCATTCAGACGTTTGACAGAGAGCCATGCAAAATAGATGTTTTTCATCTCTCAGTTTTTGCTGCAAAGGGTAAAAAGAAAATGGCAAAAAGAAATCGAGCCTTACTGTCACCAGCAGAGATGTGTGAGGCTTTTCACGACGTTGTGATTGTTCTGAAATTCAGCCCTGGTTTGGGTCTTCAGGAATCCGTCGTTATGATTCTAATCTCTAATTTAGATTTCAGAGGGGCAGCTGGTGCCAGGAGGCCATAAACATTTAATCTCTCTGCCATCACTCAAAAGTAAACGCAGAGGGTTGATGACACGCTCCGGTGGTGGTAGGCTACCTGACCCTCTGTTGCCATGGCAACACCGGAGCAATCGTAGAGGCGGAGCATCGGCATGGAAACGCAGAGCTTCGTCTGTGCAGGAGTCAATGACCGATTACAAATTAAGATTAACAGAAATTAGGGTCAATTTCAATTAAGCGTCACTTAATAAACCAGGGAACGTCTACCATGGTTTTAAAAGAAATGAATACTTTTATTTGCAAGGATGCATTAAAAATCGTAGAGGCGGAGCATCGGCATGGAAACGCAGAGCTTCGTCTGTGCAGGAGTCAATGACCGATTACAAATTAAGATTAACAGAAATTAGGGTCAATTTCAATAAACCAGGGAACGTCTACCATGGTTTTAAAAGAAATTAATACTTTTATTTGTAGTAATAATTCAGTGGTTAATAATAAAATGGTGGTATCAGGTAGTAATGTCAAGGTACTTCAATATATACTGGCATATTACCAAAGAACATGCTAGTACCATGGAGTACCAAGTCTTAAAGTTTTTAAAAGAAATTAATACTTTTATTTGCAAGGATGCATTAAATTGATCAAAAATGACAGTAAATACATGTATTAAAAAAATATATATTTGAAATATTATCAAAAAATATTCATCAAAAACATCCTGGGAAAAAAAAACCCAGTTTCCATAAAAAAAATAAAAAATTAAGCAGCAAAATGGTTTTATCACTGATAAGACTGGAGTAGCTGAAAATTCGGCTTTGATCACAGGAATAAATTACATTTTAAAAATGATTAAAACAGAACATTTTTTTGTAATTGTGAATATTGTAATAATATTTCCAAAAAAATTACTGTTTTACTGTATAAAACTTTATTTACTGTATTTTTTGATCCAATAAATGCAGCATTGCTGAGCATTAGAAACACATTTTAGCAACCCCAAGCTTTCAAACGGTAGTGTATCTTTTATAAAACCATTGTTCTATCACTGGATACCACGGTACCATCACAGTATTTTTTTCTAAGAGACGTCAGAGCACAAGGCTTTATTATAGAACATGATTGGCATTCATTTTTAATAATATATAAATATAATCAATAAAAATAACACGTGGCAGTGCTTCTGTTCTGCTTTATTGCGTGATATAACAACATCACAAAAAGACTCCAGTGTACGGTTCCTGAATTTTGTAGTCTTTTCTATTATAGAAGAACAAATATATTTTAGTTTAGCCTCTGAACTTCTCTACTCAAAGGTGTGTTAACACCAACCCCACAGCGATTCACTGATTTTCATTTTTCTCACTGCATTAGAAATGCACATTATTCACAGCGGTGCCACAGTCCAGTCAGAGAGAGGCAGAGAATCTGACTGAATGAGACTGAACTGTGAAAGCCGAATTCAAAACAAGTCCTAACAGGCTCCTGAGCGTCGTCTTCCTTCAAGGGAAACACAATGTGCATACAGGCATCCAACCAAACCCACTGGGCCAGAATACTCAACATTTTACCTCATTTTAAGCAATGTGGCTATTGTTCACCATGCTCCAGGTTCAATGCAAGTTTAAATATATTGTCAACATTTGAAAATTATTTTTTCTCTCTCTCACTAAAACAAAAACTTTTTTTTAAAATTGAAAACAAATATCTCATTTACAATAATGTAGACACAATGTACTGCTAGAATTTTGGCTAAAGCACTCAATTCGTTCTTCAATACAAAAATGTGCATTATAGGAGCTAAAAAATGTCTAAATCATCCCTTTAGCATTTATATAAAATCAATAAAATCAATACAAATACATAAAATACAATCCTTTAGTTAACCTTTCAATACTTAAATTTACTGGCTTGATTTGATGATAAAACTGGACATAAGTTACTCAGAAAAGGTTTGTAAGTGATTTTATCATACTAGACTCATGTTAAGACATATTAGGTTTGCTCTATGGTGATACTTTCAAAACAAGTTTTTTATCATTGATTCTAAGGTAATCTTGCCTTATAGGCTTATTGTGTAAGTGCATCACCTACTACAACACAATTTTTCTTTCCTATTACAAATTAAGGAACAACTCAAAGTCTTAATTATGTACATGTATTGAATCCAGAATATTTCTTTAAATAAAAATGCTACCGTTTAAAGGGGATCAGTGACATTTTTTCACCGTGGACGAAGCGGAGTCCAGCCCAGGGTCGTCACATGTGGTTGCTGCAAGCCCGCTGAACGCTCCTTCGTCGAATCACTCGGCCGCGCCGTTCTCAAGCCCGCCCGCTTCTGCTCACTCTAGCCCTCCGGCCGTTCCTCACTTCATCCCCCGGCCTCTGCTCACTCTAGGCCACCATGTGTGACGCTCAAATAATGTTCTTTTTAGCAGCATCATATGACCCCTTTAAATGTGTTTGAAAGAAGTCCCTTATATGCTCACCTAGGCTGAATTTATTTGATCAAAAATACAGTAAAAACAGCAATATTGTGAAATATTATTACAATTTCAAAGAACTGATTTATTTATTATTTATATTCTAAAATGTAATTTATTCCTGTGCTCAAAGCTGAATTTTCAGCATCATTACTCCAGTCTTCAGTGTCACATGATCCTTCAGAAATCATTCTAATATGCTGATTTGATGCTCAAGAAACATTTATTATTAATATCAATGTTGAAAACAGTCGTGCTGTTTAATATTTTTGGGAAACCCATGAGACTTTTTTTTTCAGGATTCTTTAAATCAATAGAATGTTCAAAAGAACATAATTTATTTGAAATAGAAATCTTCTGCAACATTATAAATGTCTTTACTGTCACTTTTGATCAATTTAATGCATCCTTGCTGAATAAAAGTATTAATTTCTTAAAAAAAAAAAAAAACCTCACTGACCCAAAACCTTTGAACGGTAGTGTATTAATGCAATTAAAAAGAAGATCATGACTGAAGTCTAAAATTTGACTTTTAACCTCAGTGTCAACCTAAAACCATTGCAGGGCATCTCTAGCTGCCAAAAGAATTTGTTCATATAAAAATAAATAAAGCGTACAAATGACCATATGAGATGATACAAATTCATGGCCAGCAAAGTTTGCTCCGCGGCAGGAGGTCTTGTTGGTTGACTGGCCCTGACAAACACTCTGTAGGCGGCCCTCCCCGCTGCTCACTCACCCTCGGGCGACTCCTCCTGGACATATGTTCCTGTCAGATACCGGTGAACTAATGCTGACTTCCCACTGGACAGGTTTCCCACGATGCCCTGCATGCAGAAACAGAAATGAGTCAGGCCAAAACAGAGCAGCAAACAACAGTGTTTGGGTGCATAAAGCAAACAGAAGAGAAAACAAATGACTGTCTGGAAGACAATCAATGGGATTCATTTCAGGATATTAAAGAACTAATAAAACTTAAAAGGTTTAGTTCACCCAAAAATGAAAATTCTGTCATTAATTACTCACCCTCATGTCGTTTCAAACCCGTAAGACCTTCGTTCACCTTCGGAACACAAATTAAGATATTTTTGATGGAATCTGAGAGTTCTCTGACTCTGCATAGACAGCAACGCAACTGAAATGTTCCCAAGTCCAGAAACGTAGCAAGGAGATCTGTAAAATAATCCATGTGACATCAGGGGTTCAACCGTAATTTTACGAAGCTACGAGAATACTTTTTGTGCGTAAAAAAAAAAGACGACTTTATTCAACAATTCGTCTCCTCTGTATCACCCTGTAGCGCCATTTTGGAGAGTATCCGCTGGACGTAAACAACGTATGCTGTTCTGTGTCAGCTGCGTCACGCTGGATCTGTTTCCTACGTTGTTGTGATTTGATCTGAACGAAAACAGCGTATCCGTGTGGCGCAGCTGACACAGAACAGCATACGCTGTTTACGTCCAGCAGATATTCTCCAAAATGGCGCTACAGGGTGACGCGGAGGAGACGAATTGTTGAATAAAGTCTTTTTTTTTTTTTTTCGCCCAAAAAGGATTCTCGTAGCTTCGTAAAATTACGGTTGAACCCCTGATGTCACATGGATTATTTTACAGATCTCCTTGCTACGTTTCTGGACTTGGGAACATTTCAGTTGTGTTGCTGTCTATGCACGGTCAGATAGCTCTCAGATTCCACCAAAAATATCTTCATTTGTGTTCCGAAGATGAACGAAGGTCTTACGGGTTTGAAACGACATGAGGGGGAGTAATTAATGACAGCATTTTCATTTTTGGGTGAACTATCCCTTTAAAAATGCTGTAGCTGTTTTTGTGAACATTTGCCTCAAAGACAATAATCACTTCCATCAACTTTTCACTACCAACAGATGGAGAACATCCATTGTGCATCCAGGATTTCCTTCAAACAAGTCGAGATCCCTTCCGTCATCAAACAACACCTCAAGCGTGGAGGAAGCAACTTTCAGGAGTTTCCTCGCTCACACCTGATGCAACTGTTCTGCCTGTCAGTCCACAGGACGACGGCTGTTCCTGCACGGATAATTCCCTCACAGCTGCGAGTAGACAGCTTTAAAAACATAATGAGGACAGATTTACCTGTCTTTCTCCTCAAACACTGGAGATGAAGGACTTCCTCTGACAAATATTGAAAAGGAACGACGAGGTGAGCGCCGATAAAGACAGAAGAAGCTTTTTTTTTCTTTGAAGAATTCAGTAATGGCAGTACTTCACAAAGGTTTACACTTTCCCCTGCACTTTGAATGTTAGTTTATTTGTTATTTTTGTTAATTTGATTATGCTTCCAGCCATCAAGACAAACTGCTCTGATGAACACATTTTCCATATTTAAATTCCTTTTCACAGAATTCCAAAATGTTCCCCCAAAATTCAGCAAAGAAAATGTGAAAATAAAGTCCTTCTAACCAATATGCAAAACCTACATTTAAATCATAAGGTATTATTAACAATAGCTAAAAATCTCAATAGCAAAAATCTGTAATATAAAATTCATTTTGCAATATAATGATTTATAATAATTTAAAATTGCTGTAATAATTATACGTAATAAATAATATCATATATAATTGAAATAATAACTATACTAATAATAATAATAATTATTATTATATAGCATTTAAATTATTAAATTAAAATTAAATTAAATTTAATAGCAGATAAAAATATTTTAATATGCTAACGGAATGTTTACTCTAATATATTCTGATATACACCGGAATTAAATTAAATTAAATTAAAAAGTGTAAATATCAGTTAAAAATGGCATCTTTGATATTATTTGATAACAATATAATGGCAATAATTAAATCAACTTAATTAGTATACATTTATACATATATGTGACCCTGGACCACAAAACCAGTCATAAGGGTCAATTTTTTGAAATTGAGATTTATACATCTTCTGAAAGCTGGGCTTTCCATTGATGTATGGTTTGTTAGGATAGGACAATATTTGGCCGAGATACAACTATTTAAAAATCTGGAATCTGAGGGTGCAAAAAAATCTAAATATTGAGAAAATCACCTTTAAAGTTGTCTAAAGTCCTTAGCAACGCATATTACTAATAATACATTTTTGATATATTTACGGTAGGAAATTTACCAAATATCTTCATGGAACATGATCTTCACTTAATATCCTAATGATTTTTGGCATAAAAGAAAAATCGATAATTTTGACCCATGCAATGTTTTTTTGGCTATTGCTACAAATATACCCGTGCGACTTATGACTGGTTTTATGGTCCAGGCCAGGGTCACATATACAATTAATAAACAATTATAACAAATATATAATAATAATAATAATAATATTAATAATATATAAATTAAATAATAATTATATAATACTAATAATTATTATTGTAATAGCAAATAATACTTTTTTATATTTTAATTAATATATTAACACAATGTTTACATTAATTATGGCTAAATACACCAGCCCAGTTAAAAGAAATTCAATGAAAAAATGTAAATATGTAAAAAAAAACAATTATTAAAAAAAATATTAAAAGTTAAATATAATGCTAATAAAGATATAAATACAAAAAATATATATACAATATAATATAATGGCAGTAATTAAATCAAAATTGAAATGCATTAAATAAATGCTCACATTAGCCACTGACAAAGTACATCGTGCATCACTTGGACCAACATTGAGTTTCAAAAGAGCACCGAATACTGCTTTCGTCGTGGAAATGGAAAAACTCTGTCCTTTCTTTACCCTAAACACCAAACATCCTCCTTCGTCATCATTAAAACACCAGAGGCTGATGCTGAACAGCGTTCGGGTTCATCAGAGGGTGGTGTGTACTGTTAACAAGGTTCAAACAGTAACAATCTTCCTCAATAATAAAGGCCCAGATGAGCAGTTATAAGTTACTCAAGCGGCCGCTGCAGGCCTCAAGAACAAAGAGGAGGACCGAAACTTCATTAGGAGAATATTGGATGTAAAAGCTTCACGAGCATATAGTTTCATCATGTTGCCTCATATTAAGATGTTAAAATGAGGGTGATTTTTAAATTGGATAATTATGATTCTGGAGTTGGATTATTCTTCCATGAAGCTGATACTGATACTAGTAAAACTATGATCTGCATAATTGTATGTATATTTTTGTACTACTAAATGATCCATATACAGCGTAAAAAATTAATATAGCATAAATTGAGTTATTCTAGTCACATTTTGACAGTGATAGTGTGTATGAAGCATCAGTGAACTCTGTATTTTCTGATTGGTGGCTATTCTGAGGGAACGTCAGCAGAATAACTCAAGAGTGACACGAGCCGAAATATCATTACAGAGAGTGACTGACATCTCACTGCTTGCTGAATATATTCAGTCCTCGACATGTCAGGATTTACGGTTCCACATAAAGTTAAGAGATAAGATGACAAGGCAAAGGGGTGGGAAGATCACTCACCACTTTGAGCTCTGGTACTGATCGACTCAATGTCCATTCCTGACTGTTAACGAAGGAATCTGGAAAGAAACAGACAGAAAACTTTAGTACGTGATGATGTCATTCATTTCACTCAGTGAACTGGACCGACACTATAGTATACGTTACTGCTTATACACATATAACAATCCTTATGGCTATCAACCAGAAATATTATTGATGAAATCATTAACAATAATCAAAAAATCATGAAAAAACAGATTCATGTAGAATTAAGTTTCATTTTTCTTAAGAAAAATAAAATATTTAAGAAAAACTAAATATTAAATATATTTATAAAACATATTTTTTCTTACCTAATCAATTAACTAGAATAAACTGTTTTTAGATATGATATATATCTAAAAAAAATATGTAAAAAATATAATAAAAATACTAAAAAAACAAATGTGTGTGGTGGTGTTCTGAAATGAGGCAAAGTCCTCAAAGTTTTTTTTTTTTAATCAAATGTAAATTCATGCCCCAGTCACATTTTCTTGGTTAAGTAAACATTACTTTCACTATCAGAAAAAGAAATGGAAAAAATCATCTATTTTATATTTTTATATTAACTAAATGTAATAAATAATAATAAAAATACTAAAAAAAAACAATGTGTGTGGTGGTGTTCTGAAATGAGGCAAAGTCCTCAAAGATTTTTATTTTTTATTTTTTTAATCAAATGTAAATTCATGTCCCAGTCACATTTTCTTGGTTAAGTAAACATTACTTTCACTATCAGAAAAAGAAATGGAAAAAATTATCTATTTTATATTTTTATATTAACTAAATGTAATTAATATTCTATTTATTAAAGCCAAGTATGAATCTCATCAAGTTAGTGTTTTTAATTCTTGTTTTTATAAACAAATGGATGGATAAAACATTAGCAAAAGCAAAGAAAAGCAATTTGTAAAATAAATTACATTTAAATGTTGCCATTAAAAATTATTTAGTACTTTATTATTTAAATAAGCCTATTTATTTCTCAATTGTATTTTTTTTTTAATGTTTTTTAAATGCATACATTGATAATTGGACTGCCACTTAAAAATAAATGGAAGAAATCAGTTTATTTTTAAGTGTCCCTCCTGGTCTTCATAACACACAGCCTCCAAAAACAGCACTTACTGTAAATGAAAATTATGTCATCCCCTCACGCAGAAGATCACAGGCTTAATTGTTACTAATAATCATGTTTGTCATGTTGGCTACATGGATTGACATGACAGTGAAAACACAAGCCTCACTGGCCCAATAAAATCCTGCCCATTTCCATGCCACACACACACACACACACACACACACACACTATCTGTCGTGCAGCGATTAAGTCATCACAGCGGCACATGGGCAGCCTTGTTTAAAGCACCACAGAGGTTTGTGGCACTGCATTGTTCGGTTCATTTTTCACTCCGCTGCTCTTGTCCAATCTAATCAAAATTACTATTCAAAGCGTCGGGGAAGAGAAGAAAAAAACCCTTTGTGGATTCAAGGGACTGAGAAACACACACCAAGAAACGAACCCATTTGCGAGCGAATAGTTCCATGCATACCAAAAAGAGACTCGTTCAGTTCTTGTGTGATGGTGAGAACATGGTGTGCTAAGCGTAACGCACAGCAAGTCAAGAGGTGTTTTCTCCGTCCTTCATTTAAACTTGATGTCTCACCCTCCCTTCGCACTCAACAAACTGCTGAAGTGACTCAGATGAGATTCTTCCTGCTGCGCTCAGCAACATGCCCTGATGAAACCAGGCCTTTTCAACCTCCATCCTCACTCTCACACACAGATCCATGGAAAAGTGGACGCATGCCAACAGGCAAACACATCCGAGCTTGACAACCACACCTCGCAATCCCACTATATTACCATTCTTTTCCCAAAGATGTTTCAAGTCAAAACAAATCAAAGTAATTAGACTTCAGAAGCCAGCTAAAAACTGGCTACGCATGATCTAAACTCAACTCAGGTATAGGGCTGCCACTAACGACTGTTTTTATTTCGATTAATCTGTCGACTAATTTATCGATTAATCGGTTGATTAATTTCCCACAAAAAAAATCAACAATTTTAAGAATATTTTATTAAACTATATTTAATTAAACCAAATTAAATCCAAAAGTAAAAAAGTAAAGTGCAACATAAAGTGCAAGAAGCAAGTGTCCATCTCATAGTCCAAATCACTGAAATCATAGTTCAGTATTATAGTGTAAGAATGACAACATATCCATGTGTTATAGTCTACTACTAATAAAATTATAATCAAAAAACGCTTTTTAAAGGAGTATTTACCAGAAATATTATTTACCAGAATTTATTTAGGAGAAAAATGTAAATGTGCAGTATTTCTGAAAAAAAAAAAAAAAGACTTTAAAAAAAATAAATAAAATCAATTAATTGGAGATGCTTCTGATTATTAAAGTTTAATGGAACCATTAAAATGGAATCCAGAAAATAATGGAAAACAGAATTTGGTAAAGATAAAACTGTAAAACTCAATTAATTAGACAGGCTTTTTGATTAATAAAATTTTATTTAACCATTAAAACGGAGTATAGAAAAATGAAAATGGATTGAATGAAAAACTGAATTTGGAAATAAAACGGAGTTCATAGTGCCCTATAATTATAATAAATTTTTTTGTGGTAATAAAAATATGTAAGTGAACAATAGCCTTTAAAATTACTTACAATACATATATAATAGCAATGAGGCAATAATAATATGTTCCGACGCAAGCAAAATGAAGTCGAGGATTTTAAAAATTCGAATAGTCGAATAAAATCGACGAATCGCGACAGCCCTACTCAGGTATCAAGTAAACACTGCGGTATTTTGGAGCGACAGATGTGAATGTCACTGAAATTAAACCCTATTGCGGTAAAAAGGCATCAAACTGATGTTGAACTACAATTTGATGCTTTTTCTTATGTAGAGTGAACTGCAAACAAAGCGCTTTTCGTATCATATGGGAGCCGAGATAACTTTATTGTTATCAAGCTGAAGAAAATATGACTCAGAGTTTTAAGAGAGGGCAAGGCCATCGCAAATCACATGGGAGAGTGTTTAGAAATAGTGCTGAGTGCAATTTCAGCCCCAGTTGGAGACTTTACTGGAGACTTGTGCCTTTATAACACACAGTAATGGATTCTTTCAAGCTTCCTATGATGCATTTTTCTAGCTATGCACCCTCTGAAGTGCCCTCACACCATTTTTTTACCCTGCCATTGAAACTCCACCATCACGACCCCAAGGCCAAAAAGTCATCCAAATTCCATCTGAGCAGACCTGATGACACTTTGTACGCAGGTGATGGAAGAAGGTAGGGCTGTGCAAAAAATCTAATGCAATTTTCAAGCGCATCTCGTCAGTAAAGCCGCTCCTGTGATTAGTAGTAAATCTCCTCGGCAATGAATCGCCTGCGATTTTGAACGCAAATTTGTGTAGCTTGTCAGTGAACTACGGCTCTGTGTAGTAAATGCCGCTCCATCTGAACACACATGCTGGAGATTTACTACTAATCACAGGAGCGGCTTTACTGACGAGATGCACATGAAAATCGCATTCGATTTTTTGCACAGCCCTAGAAGAAGGTAAAGCCTTCCGGGCTTAAAATACAAAGAAGTCACAGTTACAGAAAACAGTCAAGATCCAGGAACGACCTGCTTGTCAAACTACCAGGGCATGTAGCGACAGGTACGCGCAATCCACAGACATAAGCTTTGGTCCAAAAAGCTCTCAAGTTCAGCAAACACACCTAAATTCAGGCTGTCAGTCAACTTTTATAAAGAAAGGTCAGTCAGGGAGCTTGGGGAGGATAGTTTCCATAGTAACCAATGAAAATAAACTCAAGCAGATGCCAAGGGTGTAAACCTCAATTAATTTATTATCTCCATTTGACGAATGACTAATGGTACTGCCTAAAAACAAGCCCTGTAAGTCATTTGTGGGAGTTTGCTGTGCTAAAGTGAGCTTTGCAAGATATACTTGAGTAGGTAATGTGAGTAGATTGTTATGATCAGCGCAAGTCCATTGATTGGATGTTGGCCGATTTCTAGTTGGATCACTTTGAAGTGGCAGTGTCACTGGTCTGCCCAAATACTGTCTATTAAAATAAAACAACATGAAATATGTGACCCTGGACCACAAAACCAGTCTTAAGTCGCTGGGGTATATTTGTAGCAATAGCCAAAAATGCATTGTATGGGACAAAATAATAGATTTTTATTTTATGCCAAAAATCATTAGGATATTAAGTAAAGATCATGTTCCATGAAGATATTTTGTAACTTTCCTACCGCAAATATATAAAAACTTAATTTTTGATTAGTAATATGCATGGCTAAGGACTTAATTTAGACAACTTTTAAGGCGATTTTCTCAATATTTTAATTTCCAGATATTCAAATAGTTGTATCTATATGGCCAAATATTGTCCTATCCTAACAAACCATACATCAATCGAAAGCTTTCAGATGTACAACTCTCAATTTTGAAAAACTGACACTTAAGACTGGTTTTGTGGTCCAGGGTCACAAACAACAAGAAAAAAAAAGAAAAGAAAAAATGTCATCATATATAATAAAATCATTCAAGTGAAAGCAAATTAGTATGTGCCAAAAAGGTCACAATTTACAAAAAGGCCACACATAATCTAGTTTCTTATGAAATTAGTCTCTGTATATAATGCAAATTAAGGGATTGAAAGCTCTTCCTTTATTCTGAGAATGAACTAGAGATGCACTACCTGACCTGAACGAACTTTTTTAAGTGTCATGAAAGATTAAAACATGTTTTTGAAATGTTAACAGATATGTGTTTCTAGAATTATGGATATTTATGGATAATCTCAGCATCACTAACTCCAACCATCTTTACTGTGAATGTGTTAATAAATCAGCCCAATGAAATATATGAATCAACAAATCTGAATAACACTCTCAAAATGTATTACAAATGCATGAGTGCAATCAAACATATTTTAAATGTGTATTTTTAGATTAGACAGACAGACAGACAGATAAGATAGATAGATAGATAGATAGATAGATAGATAGACAGACAGACAGACAGACAGACAGATAGATAGATAGATAGATAGATAGATAGATACCTTAATTTTAACATTCTGGTGAGACTTGAGCTGAAATGAGGCTTCCGCTACATAATAAGTGCTCAAACCATCTCAAGGTGTGCTGCCAATAAATCATCTTCCATCCTGAAACATGTCCTCCTCACTCAATCATATTGTGTTTTGCTTTGGTACCGAAATTGGTACCGAGAACCGTGGATTTTCACTGGTATTGGTACCGAATACTGAAATTTTGGTACCGTGACAACACTAATAAGGACAGCTCTATTTCAATAGCAGATGTGCTAGCATCTCTCCACTGACATTTCAGTCATTTTGTGTTTGCAGACATTTCATTCAAATTATACACTGCACCCCGGCATCTTCAACAATTGCAAAAAAACAAATATAATTTATGTTAAACTTGTGTAATGCTGCACACATACTTATTACAAATACTTACATCCAAAGAAAATGCCACAGGCAAAACTAATCAAATTTTCATCATCGAAATAAGGATTACAAGGGAGCTGAGGTGACTTAAGGTTAAGAACCTAGGCCTGTATACACCTTGTCTCACTCTACGTAACCTAATCCCTTTTTTAAATCACAGCGTAAAGCTCTGAAACGGCACTATTTGTCTTCACTACCTCTGAGACAACGCAGAAGCTGCAGGGAAGGAACAAAAACATGTTTAAATTATCATGAGGTTGTTGTCTGCATGCTGGGTCACGATTTAACCTTCAGAGCTGCGAAACCAAAAACGAATCCCAACTCCAATCCCATGAGAACGGGATTGTTACATATAGCATTCTGATAGTAGAAGAGAGTCCTTAAATTATTCCCTCTCTTTATTCGTCTACATCTTCCATCCTTGACTCATTCCTGCAGTCTATTTGATTACCTTCAAAGCGTTAATGATTAAACAAGATTTGATGGACGCTTTTTTGCTTCCTAATTCAATTGCAGTGCAGACTTACACTAGAAGAAAACTCCTCTTGGAGCCAATTAACAGCTCAAGCACACACACACACTCCAACAGAGCCAAAGCACTCAGAGTGAATAATGCATTTAACCTCTTATTATGCCTGTTGGTGCTGCCCAAGCCAGACCTTCAATATCGTTTTAATATTTAATCAATTTGCCCTGCTCTCCAAGGCTACATCCTGGCACTCAAGAGTCTGTCCTCTTCAGACAAAAAGCAGCACCTTTTTCTGCGTCAAGACTAGGATGTGGAATGAAATTATGCATTTTACACAACTTACCTTGACCTTTGCGGAAACCAATGCCAGCTAGAGTCTCTATGGCAACAGAATCTGGCTTTTTATTTCTCGCAGGGGGGTGGCTGCCAACTGCTTGGCTTTCAGTGAACAGCTCAGATTTGTTGCTGGACAACGGGTCTTTCCTCTTAAAATTACTAGCAATTAACTGCCAAAAACTAGTCTCTGGTTGCAAATGTTTGGTGGGCTTTGTTAGTTTGGCAGAATGGAGAGGGACCTCCAAGACGGCCACCTTGCCCCGAGTTTGGTACTGAATGTACTGTGTGGCCCCTTGATCCTCATCTTGCTCATGAGCTGGCGTTAACATCCTGCCAGTAAGATAGGAAAACGGGCGAGTGGTTTGCATAGATAGTTCTCCGATACTTGAAGTGCGTCTCCATTCAGTTCGGTTCTCCTGCTCAGGTTGATTACGATTCCGCCTCATCCTTAGACTCAAGCTCCTCCGCAGGGATCCGAATGTTGTCTTTGGTTCTTCTGTCTTGTTGGATTCCTTTAGCCTTGTTGAAGTTTGTTTCGCCACCACTTCCTTTCCAGTTGCCTGTCGACCAAACCATCTCCATCGGAAGCCTGGACGAGGCAAACTACCGGTGCCAGTGGAAGCGTGGCTTGCGAGCTCATCCCGGGATCCAATACGCTCTTTATTAAGCTCAAGAACAGTCATTCTAATGGGCCGTGGTTTGTTCTTGCTTTTCAAAGTCCGACGTACTGGCGGTTCTTCTATTGGATGAGGAAACAGGTTGACAGAAGGCGGCATGTCTGGTTTTAGACCGTCTATTGCACGCAGCTCGGCACGTCTTCTCCTACACCGCTGGACCACATCTGGGCAACCTTGCTTATTTGGGGTCGAGGTAGGCAGAATATTGTTGTTTGAGTTGGTAGCTGCCAACATATAATCACTGTGAGGTTTTGCAGAGCTGTCTTGGTGGTTGGTCGCTGTGTTTTGGTGTCTCCTGTTGTCGTCTGGGAAGACAAACATCCTCACGGCTCTTCTGCTGCCCAGGAGCCGAAGCCCATGTGCAGGCCTTCGCAAGACCGCCACATGAGGTTCTGTTGCATTTTCCAGAAAAACAGCATTGCAACTTAGTTCCTTAATGGGAATGTGGCAAACATCAGCACTGAGTTCTCTGGTCCATGCTTTTTCTTCCCCAGCCAAGTCTAAGTCTTCCGCAGACGCTTGTTGCACACAGCTGTCCTGGAGGAAAGGAGGTAACCGGTCCGTCCTCATTCCTAGTACTTCCCCTTTCCTCCGCCCCCCATTCCCTGTGCTGCTTAGGTAAAGCCACCTGTTGGGCTTTCCAACTGCACTCCTCCTCTGCCCCGGGCTTTCTCGACATTCTCCCCTCTGATCCGTCTCTTGTCTTTCGTCGTCGTCCTCCTCCTCTCCCACATTGTTCTTCACGACTCCTAGCTCAGCCTCTCCTCTTCTAGTCTCAGCCCCTCCTGAAGGCGTCAGAGTCTGTACCTCCTCCTGGAGTCCCATTCTGGAAAAGAAGCAACTTCGTACAGATTTTCACCAATTTTGTCTTGGCGAAGAGATGTGATCCTACCTTTAAAAATCACATTTCATATCATGGACACACTTCCAAAAGCTTGTTCTCTGCAACTTAGGCACTCTCTCTCTAACACAGTCGCTCTTGGAGTCTTTCACCTCCAGGCCACATTCCAAAAGCAAGCATAATCCCTCACCTTTGACTTGTGAGAGACGGAGACGGAGTTGGGGGGGGGGGAACTTCAAACAAGCCCCAGCATGACCTCACTGCAACTTTTACCTTGCAGGGGATTATGGGGGGAAATAAGCACTCTATGAAAACACAAACCTGTGCGCAATGGAGTGATGAATGCAGCCACCGATTAAGAAGTCTTTGGTCTTCTCCTACGGTCAAAAACAGGTCTGTGCAACCCTGCAGTCAGCAGTGTAGGCAAATTCCTTAATGTTCCAGTTCTTGGCATGAGCGAGAGGGGTCTGTTTGAACGTCAAGTTGTTCCCACATGTCCCAAGGATAGCAGCAAAACAAGGAGCAGAATCCTTTGTCTCCTTAAAGCAGAGCCATTGCCAAGGCACCTGTAGAGAAATCCCTGTGGGAGTTACTGCTTTGACTGAAGATTAAAACGGAGGGTGCCTGATGCTTGGAGCGGAGAGTATCTTCGGCACGGTTACCAACATTTGCACCATCCTAAAAAGCATCCAAATTAAAGGGCATTTTGTAGAGTTTCCCTTTCCCAGAGCCTGCCTCTCTTTGGCTCCCTTGTTCCTACCCTCCCTTCCTAAACTGCCCTCCCTCGCAACTGCATTTCCTCAACCAATTGAACATGACAGAAATTGGCAAACAAAACTGGGGAGCTCATTTCATGAGGGCAGGATGAAATGCCAAACAATTCCCAAGTTTTCTCATGCAAGTTTTGCATATGCTAAAAGAACTGAATGTAAAATGTTTTCACATCACTTATGGGGGTGAATAGTTGAGTCTTTAAGTATTATAGGAAAGAAAGTTGATGTGCAATGAAAGTCACAGTGGAACTAAATGTGCATGCAGAAGCTATCTCCACTATGAAAATACATACAGAAGAGTTCAAAGCATCTACCCGATATCCAATAGTTTAGCTTTGCTATTAGGATGGCTTGCTAGGATTCAGTACAACATGAATATCTGTTCCTAATATGGCGAATCTGACTGGCCTAAAAGCCATCTGGATTAGGAAAACAAGGGAGCAGATTTTGTGCTTGTAAAGAGCACCCACAAGTGGTTCCAATGAAAACTACCCCACCAGTCCAGTACTACTACACTGCCATAGAGAAAAACTATTAGACTGAGACTCACTTAACAACATTTAAACAAAGATTCCTGCGGAGTAATGGGATTTTTGAGAGGAAATATACAACTTTAATCGAACAGATTTGCAAAAAGATGCTAAACAATACAGCAGCACTCTTTCCCTTTTCCTTCTTTCTTTCGCTCTTCATACTTCCCCACTTTTATTTCCTTTGTTCTTTCCCTCTTTACTTCTTTCCTTTCTTACTGTCTTTCTTTTTGTCAGTTTCTTTCCTTTCTTCCATTCTTTCCTTGTTTCTTTCTCTTGTTCTTTCCTTCTCTTCCTATTTTCTTCTTTCCCCTCCTTTTATTACTTCTTTCTTTCCTTTCTTCTTTCCTTCTTTAACTTCCGGCGTACAGATGACATGAGTTTGAAAAGACCAGTCAACAGATCCAGATGATCTGTGCTCTCTGATCTCCTTCCTATGAATTCAATTTTTCTTTGAAGTCTTTTCGATAAGAAAAAACATTTCTACAAGTTTCTTGGCCATAGGCCACTGGTATCTTGAGCTTACACCCACTCAGATTAAGATCTTTGATCAATTTCCAATTTGTATAACCTAATAAACTCAACTACTTGGACATATTTGAGAACATAATTGCTTACGGTTTAACTTTAAAGCCATATTTAGCCAACCAAACATATCCATTTCTAGATTTAGCTCCTACAAGCTCTTGTTAAAACCTCAACTAAAATGATACCCCATGCTATAATTATTCAAAACACAATGCAACAGCCAAAACATCATATGTATGTCCCTGATGACTCACTGTTCATTCACTACAAAAATAATCACACGTAACTAAGTTTATCATACCTGAAATGCCTTCACTTTAACAGCTTCCACAGCACTTCAAATACATCTAACATCAAAGCAACAAGTACAAATGTCTACAAAGTTCAGAATAAATACTATTTTCCCAAAAGGACTCTAGTAAACAGACAACACAAAGACATGGATATTTGGTATTTACAATTTTTCCTTTTCAATGCCCTCTAAAAATAAAATACATCTGACCACAGATGACCTCAATTCTCGTATTTAATTGAACAGTTCAGGTGTTTAATTACCAAACGACAACAGCATTAAAGCAAACACTACAAAAGCCCAAAAAACTGAACACGAATCAGTACCTGTGTTGATCAGACAGGAATTAACACCTGTACACATGAAACGGATTGCTCTCCTTTGAAGAAGGATTTATTACCTGTGTCTACCGCGTAAGGATTCGTCACCCCTATAACCTCCACTGAGATCAAACAGTCCTCTTCGCCCCACTGCAGATGGTTGTGTCTCGGCCGTCTTCTCCCTCCAAAACACATCATCATGACAACTTTCCCAAACTACAGGAATATCCTTTAACCAGTGGCATTATCAGGCCAAGACCAAACTAAAAAACCAAGTTCAGGGTCCAAATCATCTTCTATTTAAGCATGCTCTGACGGCAAAATCCTAGCACTGCTTTTGACAGACTGACTAACGTCATGCTCAGTTCAAGTACTTGGCTTTGTCAAATATCAAAAATGTCTCGGTGAGAAGGAGGAGGTGGCAGACAGGAAACATGTCCAACCTCAATAATCACTCATGAGGAGGAGGAAGCAACCACGGCCTCCCTGGCTTACCTGAACCTAAAGTAGGATTAGTCTAATCCTTAACCAATAGGAAGTCATTGGTGCATTATCCATCCCTCCGTTCTGATGGGAACGCACACACAGAAGCGCTATCATGTTCAACTCCATTTTGGAGTAAAGCACGGCTGGCCCTTTCAAAACTAGTTTAACTCATCGTTGTACCTGTGCAATGCTCTGACGCAAGACGCCCCACTGATATTTCAAGTCCAACCACAAGACTGTCTGTGATGAAACATTACACTTGTCTTAAAAGTCAGATTGAGCAAACATTATAAATGTAAAAATCTCAAGTGAGACAAAAACAAGCCACGGATCATATCTAGGCGTCAAAGCTCTCCACTTCATTAAACCATTACAGAAATGCAAAGGGTTGCTCAACAAAAAAACATTTTCGTCTCAAACTACACAAGCATTCGTAAACTATTCCCATCTAATGAAATGCATTTAATTGATGAGGTCCCATAGAAATGAGAGCGCATAAAGGCCATATCGACTTTCAATTAAAAACCACCGCGTCATCGGCGGTACCGTCTGCGAGGCTAAATGGATACAAATACTGATGGATGACAGAAAAAACACATTTTGCCCTTGCGAGGTGGTGTAGCGAACACAGAGCATTAGATATCCCTTTCATTTATACCGATTTAATTATGCAGACCATCAGAAAGTGTGTTTCCGAATGTTTTTTTCACCCTCGAGGCGCACCTTTATTACTGAAAACCCTTTGGAAATTGGCCTGCCAGTCTAATTAAAGCAGAAAAACTGATTACGGTCAAACAATTAGGCCTCTCTTCCCTTTTAACACTTTTAATACTGCAAGAAAGTGACACAAGCAGCATGCCAATGTCTCTTGTCTTTCTTACTAAAATGCTCTGCAAAAACAGTAATGTTGTGAAATATTATTACAATTTAAAATGACTAAAATGTAATTTATTCCTGTGATCAAAGCTGAATTTTCAGCATCATTACTCCAGTCTTCAGTGTCACATGATCCTTCAGAAAGCATTCTAATATGCTGATTTGCTGCTCAAGAAACATTTCTCATTATTATCAATGTGTTAAAAACAGGTGTGCTGCTGAATTTTTGGGCACCATAGCACAATATTTTTCAGGATTCTTTGATGAATAGAAAGTTCAAAATAGCAGAATGTATTTAAGATGATATAGAAATGTCTTTACTGCCACTTTTGATCTATTTAATGCATCCTTACTCAATAAAAATACGAATTTCTTTCAACAAAAATAAATAAATAAATGCATGAATAAATAAAATAGATTAAATCTGATCCTAAACCTTTAAATGGTATAGTGTAAATATTGCAGTTAAATATTATGCATTAATATTTTGCTGCGAAAAGGAAACACCAATTTAATCAATTTCAGAGAAAATTACCACCAAAAGGATGAAAAATATGTTTCGCTAAATCCCCCAGGTGTATTAGCATGTCAGCATCTCTAATTAGCTTTTCAGTGTGCAACTACTAGTCCAAAAATAATGTGACTATGTTAATACACTTTTCTTGCAACCTGTATGCCTTTACATAAAAAGGCACATATTAAGCCAATCTAATCACAAACAGATTCTAAATCATAAAGACTAATTATAAATGCAACATTACCTTCCAGCAAGTTGTGTCCATAAACATACACACCAGCAGGGGGCAGTCTGTCTTCTCTCACAGCGGACTGCTGAACATATTAGTTCAGTTCATAAATCAAGTCTAGCATCATTAAATCTGGATTTGTGTGCTTCCACATAGCTGCCATCATATTTCACCCAATTATATGCTGCTAATATTGAATATTGGCAATTGCTGCTTGACATGCAACAACAAATCGTTCCGTAATTATAAGGAATTACAAAATAAGTTTGTGTGCAAGTTTAGGAAGGAAAATGTGTAAGAGCTCACAGAGTCATCTGCACCTCCATCATCTGCAGATGTGGCTCCTGAGCACATCACTAATGCTAATTAGCTTACGCAAGGTTATGTAATTTTCCAAGCTGCACTGCAGTCCAGGTCAAAAGCTGGGGGTCCCTGAGAACGTGATCATGTG